TTTTTTTTGGTAGTTTTCTTTTACTTGTAGTTTTGCATTAAGTGTACATTTACATTAACTACAACCATCACGAACTGCAATTCTGACGGGACAAGTAATTACTGTATTTGTGACATTTTTTCTTATTTTCTTATCTCCTCTAACTTGTAAATTTTTTTGCTTTTTCTTTTTTTTTTAATTTTTGTTTGCTGTTGCAGAGTGTCAAACATATTCACTAGCTTCAAGCTAAAATGCTGTCTATTGGGGTAGACAATTTTTCTGTTAATTATGAAGTTATTTTGAATTCTGTGATTCTGCCAGAATTTTACAACACTGAAGTTAACTTGACTATAACTGAAGCCATCCAAGCAACTATCAGAAACAATCACATTCATTGCGTAGGATATATAAGTACACAAGGCCAAGCCAAAACATTCTAGAAGCACGAGAGTAAACCCAATGAAAAGCTTATGGATGTAGGTAATATATTTGAAATTACATTATTTTGAACAAGTATTGTCTACGGAATATTTAACAGAAAACACAAGGTTGCTTCTAATCTAACTCTTAATCATCAAAAATTTAACAGTTTAATATTATCTTTAAGTCCTCTACTAAACATTGTTTTAAACTACAAAAAAAGAGTAAAAAATGTAGATAATCCAGCTATCATTAGTGCATCCACTCCTTCTTATTAAAACTTGTCAAATTACAGGAACACAAGACAAAGAATTACCTTGTAATTTCTAACAATACACACAAAACAATAAATTCACTCCTCTACCACTAACACCTTTCTGTTGTTAGTCAGTATTAACAAGATCTCTCAGTAACAGACAGTTACAGTGAAAATGGTTTGCTTTCTTTCTTCTGACACTTTTTAATCAGCTATGGCAGAATTCAGTATTATAAGGTCTTTGAAAAAACTCCTTTGTTAGGATCAATGCAATCAGGAACATATAAAAGCTATAAATAAGGTAAAAATTGTTCATTCATTCAAACTTTTAGGTTCATTAGATCTTCTATAAATGCCAGCTCATGGGATATCTTGAACCTGTGGTCCTTAATTAGTTGTAGAAGTGTTGACTGCTGGGGGCTTAGTACATGAACACTTGCTTTCTGCATCCTTTATCCAATTAAGAATGTGGCTGCAATGACAATTCAGTTGCCCGCAATGGCGCAATATGGTCAATTCTCTCTTTGAACACAACTTCAGCTCATTGTTCCTTCAAACTCTGCCATAATGTCACTTTGTTGGTTCATATCAATTGTTCCAGCCAGCTGTGGATAACACAGATACAGGAAAATTGCAAGTGATTAGTTACAAATGCATACTCTTTCCACCTCAAGCAAGTAATTTGCTGTATGTGTGAGACAGGTATGAAAGTGTGTTGACTGTACATTGAAGGCTCTTCATATAATGTAAAAGATGAGCATTTTTACGGTGTACAAATGTAAAATACTCTTTCTTGTCAATATAAATAACCCTCATTCTATAGTCACTAAAAAACATTTATTATATGGCTGTCTCACAAGGACTGGGAACTACCGAATTCATGAATTTGGTTGGCTGAAATTGATATTGAAAGCGGACTAGATTTTCCCATCTAGACCGGCATCTAGACTGGTTACATTTTGCGGTGAAAAAGTTTCAAACTAAAATGCAAAAATATTGACTATTTTCTTCTAACAATATTTATTTATGCAAGTGCCAAACTGAGCCTGATGATGAAAAAAGTATAGAGGACGAGCAAACTTTGGCCAAATTAAGTTCGGGTCATCACCGTTCGCAAGCAAAATGTCAACTTGTACAACCCAGTTACATTAAACGAATTAAATTTTTCTTGTTTGCCATATAATAAACATCTTATTAACCGAGCTTAGTCAGTCTGTATGGGAGAATCTTGACCGAGGTCATGTGTACAGACCTCACTGCGTTCGTTCTGTTCTCACGACCTCGGTCAAGATTCTCCCATACAGACCTCCTGCTCGGTTAATAAGAGCTAAACAAAAAATATCTCGAGTGTACATGGTTCAAGAGTTGTCACTGTAATATCAATTACTGATTTCTTTTAATTTGTCATCTGTTCGGCAACCTAAGGTAAGTCAAATTTGTTCAAGATGATATCTTGTATGGAGACAATATGAAGTTGTACCAACTGGTGTTGTTGGCTGGCTAGAATAGTTGTGCATGAAACATCAGTTAGAAAATTTTTGACATGTCACAGATGACTTTGGTGGTCAGAAATTTTCTTACTTAAAAACAATAATATTGAGATTATCTGACACAATAAGGAGGCATCTCCAACCTATTTGTCTAACATCCCACCAGAACACTATGCTTAAGATGTTCTGGTACTGAATGTTGGACAGGTCTTGTGTGAGAAAGTTGTGTGTGCCTAGAGAAAAAGTTATTATATTTTCACTTACAGCTTCTCTTTTGCGCCGTTCAGCTTCTCTCATTCGTTCTCTCTTCATCTTCTCCACTTGCTTGGCATGCTCTTGCTCTTTATTTTGCCTAGCTTGCTCCAAAGCATCATCTTCTTCTTTTTCCCTAATGTTTACATACATAACAGCACCTCTTGTTACAAGTAGACGAAAAAACAATAACACAACTAGAGAAAGTTCAGAGACCATCAGTTCCAGCTAGTTAAGCTCTTGTTTTACAGGGTAAACCTACCAGGTGTACAATAACACTTTACCTTGAGCAACTGCGTGGGATAGGTAACACTGTTAATAACTATAAATTGAGAGGCATGAATGACTTTTCTCCAAAACGGTATAACAGTGAACTTGGTACAAATAGCACAAGGTATAGGGGCCCTATCATATAGAATGCCATCCCTAAAGTAATCAGGGACGCTTCATTCTTGCAACTTTTTTATGGAAGACTTAAAAATGGCTCCAGGTCTGTAGACCATATCCGATTTGAAAAAAATTGAAAAAAGCGGCATGTTTGATTAGTTCTAAAAACCTGGATTTTTATATTTTTAAGATTTGCTTTGTATAAATATTAGGATAGTTAGATTTTATGCCAGGTCCACATCAGCCCCAAGGTTGGCATATTTGACCTGCCCTATCAAAAAGTATATGCATGTGTGTACCTTTTTCTTTCCTCAGCTTGGCGCAACTTTTCAATTTCTGCTCGTTCCTGTTGTTGGCGTCTCTGTTCCTCTTCAGCTTTCAAGTTTTTCTCCTGTTAGATATCAAGATAAAGATAAAGGTTTAAAAACTCCAAAAAAAAAGCTGCAAGACATGTTAGTAACATTCTGGATTACAAAATTACTGTTCAAAATGAAAAAAAACAACAACAACTGCAAGATGTTGGGAATGATTAAATCAAAACTGTTCACAAAATAGCTTCCAAACACAGTGAGAGGATGATGAACGTCTTGCCAGACAATACCAAACAAGTTTAATCATTCCTGTTACTGCTACTGACAACACATACAAGACCTCGTCTCTAGCATGTACAGTTTCACAATTTTTTTTTTTTGGTACTGTCTCAAGACTCAGATTCAAAACTGTTTTGATTTGTAACTTACCCGTTCCTCCTTGTCCCTTGCTTGCTGACGAAACTTTTCAAAGCTGCTTGCAGATGACACAGGACGGGACAGAGATGAACCTGAACTACTCAAACTGGACCAAGACGGTACTTGACGAATTGCCTTGGGGGCCAAATCCTGAAAAACAAACTTAATGATTACCACATGGAAGTGCTAAATCACACTTCAGTTTCAGAGTTCTGCAATTCTTGGTCTGGGCCTTGCTTGGAATTTCAAATCAGAGACAAGTGATGATAATCAAAAACCATAGGATATTTTCTTGATGAACTACCAATTTCTCAGAACTTGCATGGCAAAAGTAAGGGGAATCAACTTTTGATCTTTCAAGTTATTACATACCTTCTTTGTAGCTTGATTTTCATTCCTTTGCCCTAGAAAGAGAATAATACAAAAATCATTAAACCTCGATCCTCGAAGGAAATCCCTCATGTTTGAAGAAAAGTGAAAAAGAAAATTGATCTGAAAATATATATATATTTGGAAACTTACCAATAGAGGCAAGAGAACCTGGTAACTCTCCTACAGTGAATGTCAAACCACTAGATCCTGTGAACACCAGGGAGGGAAAGTACTGGTTAACATTTATGAGTAAGAGTAAAATACACTCTAGAGTAAATACTTTCAAACACCATAGAAGTGTTTCATCTTGCAAGTAAATGGGTACATTTGGCGAATGATGAGCTGGTTGGGTGCTACTTAAGTATGGAGGTGGTTCATTTGCGCTAGAGTTTCATCTGAAGATTGCCCATCCTCTTAGGTGACAATCAGGGTAAAGATGTCATTAGAAACAAAGTGGTGAACTCGGCAAAAATGACTTGAGGAGGCTGATAAAATTCAGGCCTAAAAAACAGGCATGTACTTCTTCACTCTACTGTTTAGAGAATTTGTTAGTTTCAAAAGGACGGCAGAGCACCTGTGAAAATCAGGTTAAATTTGAAAGCAGAACAGCACCTGATCGTGAAGTTGCTGATTTTTTTTCTGCTGGAGCTGCAGTGGCAGCAGCAGTAGGTGCTCTATCCTTGAGCAGCCCAGTAGCTGTTGTGGTACTGACTGGTGTGACTGGTGCAGTAGCCTTTGTTGTCACTGCTGTCCTTGCAAATGATGAGACTGACTGCTTGGGTGTCGTGGTGGTGCTGGTGGGTGTAGGCTTGAGTGCTGTAGAAACTGCAGGTTTAGCTGTCAACTTTGACAGTGCTGAAGGGATGCTTGTCGGACCAACTCTAGAAGGTTTAGGAGGTGCCACAGTTGCTGCAGGGGGATGACTTGTTGCTGGTGTGGGAGAAGTGGTTGACACAGCACTGGCCACAGCAGGTTTCTCCTGAGGCTTTGGTACTGGAGTAGGCTTGGGGGGTGGCACAACTAAAGCAGTAAGAAACAGGCTTGAGACTCCCAAGCTAACAGCTCCCAAGATAATTTTGCTTTATGATATTGAGCTGCATTAATTGAACAGCAGAAAGGTGATGAAAAGAAATGTAACTTCCAAAAAGGTAATAGTGTGATGTGCCGCCAAATCCTTATCATGAACATTAAAAGATGTGCGACAATCAGTGAGGAAAATCAAACTTTTATTGTGACCCTAATAGAACAATTATATATTTCTCAAGAATAAGGTACAATTGTCAGGTGTGAAGGACAAAGCAATCTGCATTTCACATTCTTTTGGGAGCTATCTACTCAGCAAAAACCAGAGATCAAAGCTTCACAAATAAAAAATGCTTGGTGGAAAGCTGAACTTCAAAAGTCCCATTTTACATTGCACCACACTGTTTCATTCAAAGATTATTGTCAGTGCATTGTCAGACAACAAGAAGGAAACGAAAGGTACCTTCTCCAAAAATTTTTAACCCATGCATGAAAACAAGAATTTTGGTCTCATCAGCAATGATCACCGTAATTCATGAAATGATCTCTTAGAAACCTCCATTTACAGACGAGATGATCGACAGGAAAACTTCAAACCATAAAGTTATCACTGCGCTGACAAGATAATCATAGTCAACTGTATAATTTATGCGTCAAAGTTATTCAGTCATTTTTGGTACAAAAGAAGAATTTAATGCCTGTTGCCATAAGAATAAAAAACTCTAAACATTTCAAGAAAAGATGGGTATCACTAAGACAAATAATTTGTATTACCATTCTTTTGCTTAAAATGCAAAGTGAGTAAACTCTTTGTCTATTTATGTCGCACTTAAAACTGCAGATTTTAGCATAAGAACAATTGACAGATTCCTGTAAGAATCATTTCATTTACTTTCTGTGACAAACAGGTTCACGCTATTGTGACAATGCAATCCTGAACAGCTATTTTCAAAGGGCTGCAGCCATCACATTTCAAATCTATAAAAAAAGAGTCCATTTTAGAGGGTGCCTAATTGATTTTGTTTACATCAACAATAATTATTTTATACAATGATCACAATGTGGATCCAAAATTCTGAACACATCCCAGATATCGACATGAAAAGAAGTTGGCACAAGTTTCACTACTTCACCAACAATGTATTTTGTGAGAAGAAAAAGGGAAACCCATATTTTGAAAGTAGTTAAACCAGCTTTTTGAAGAAATGATTCGCTGAACATCTTTTCAATCCCTTGTACACAAGGGTATAAAAACCAAATAAGAAAAATAAAAGTCAGTCGAGGGGAAAAGAAGGCATGGAAAAATGGAGTGGAAAGGATGACAACTTGTTTAAACGGCTAGCACAAAGATGTGAAAACTTTATTTTGTAGGTGAAAAGGCAGTATGGGAACAAGACGACAACTTATTCTAGCCTAAAGGCCTCTTTTCTTTGTCTGCCTGTAAGGTGGTTCAAGTAATTGACAATATGAAAGGGGTCTTTTTAACAATGCTTTTTCTGCATCATTCATTGTGACCATGAACTGAATTTATTGTGCCATAATCTTTTTAAGCTCAGTTCTGAGAAGCTTCAAAGAATAAATCAATATATGGTTTAATTTGGACAACAGTACTCAACCATTACAGAATTCACCGACAAGGAAGTGAGGATGCCTTACGGTGAAAATGGCTTGCAATCAATCTCAAATGGGAATCTTTGTTACTTATGGCAAAAAGTTGACAAAATGGGCAATAAAACATCAAGCTTGATTGAGCCACACATTTGTCAGCTTAGCATGTGCAATTCAGCCAGTCCAGTAATTGCAGACTTACAATCAGAACATTCTAGTGTCAACTGCTCCCCGACTGCTGATCAAGGGTAATGAGGACTCTGGGTACGAGCCTGGCTTACTAAAAGCGTGGGTTCAATTCAGATTGAAAAGAAAATGTTTTCTAACTTGGAGTTCCTCAAAAAACCTTCACAATTCTTGTATAAGAGTTTTGTGAAAACGTCCAGTTACATTGCTATGCTAAATTGGTTGTCCTCCTTCAAGGCTGATATACACTAGATTTGACATGAGGAAGCTTTGATGTTCATACAAGTGAAATTTTTATAGGTCAGATGCTGATTTGCTCTTAATTTGTCATGTGCAAGCTTTGATGTTGATAGAGTCAATTTTAAGGGTAAATGAGTAAAGACTACTCCAAACTGATTGCCATACACCTATTTTAAACACAGTTGAAAGGATCTTGGAGTATTTGGAATTTTCTTTTTTCGTCATCACCTCTCTGCTTCATAGTGTATATGTATCGGCATTGCAAGGAGATAAAGTTAGTGGAGAACACCCATGGGCTTGAAGGGTTTACAGGTGTGTTCTTTTAACAACTTTACAAGAACACTCTTCAGTTAAACTCGACTTTGTAGATAAAACAGATTCAGCATACCACGCTAAAAGCTTGCGGCCATGCTTACCACAAACAAAAATAAAATACCTCGGGTTAATGAAATTTCTGAGAAATGCTGGCAGTATGACTTTGATTTTTCTCCCGAGTTTGAAAAAGGATGACATGTCCAAAGACAAAATTTGAGTACAAATCAACATCTTAAAACAAGACAAGGAGGTATTTCAAATCGACCATTTCTTTTGGAAAAATAAGGGAAGGGTAACAAGGCACATCAAACAAAACCAGTAGCTTTAGTTCTGGTAGATAACTGGAATGAAATAAACACATGGGTTTTAAGAGGAGTGGGCTTTTCTAGAGAAGTTCTGGGATTCAAAAGAAATGGTAGATTTGAGAACTAAAAAATGTAAAAGAGGGGAAGCAGACATACCAGGCTGGGTCACATGACTTGCTACTGGTTTGGACGGCGTTGGTGTCGCCTTGGATGTGTGACCAGCAGACTTGTTCTGGCAATGTCAGGAGGAACAGAATGAGATCTGACTCATTAGTATCAAACAGCCAAGTCAGAAGAAATATGAGGTTGTGAAGGAAGTGTTTCAGAAATGAATGGGTGATTCTTAAACTTTTGAACAAGTGAGCTTCAACGTACAATCAATCTCAGTGCTCTCCAATTCTGAAAACCTTTCTAAATCTTTTCTTTTTTCATGTGAAACTGTGCAACTAAAAAGAAATACAATGTAATATGTAAAACACAGAGCACAAAATAAATGGCTTCTTTTTAAAAGTTTGCAAGAGTGGCTAATGTGTAGATTAAGGTGTTGAAAGACAAGGAGGGGAATGGCTAATGCCAAAGGAGTGAATGAAATCATAAGTACCTTTCCAGTACTGTGAGAAGTCTTGTGGCTCACACCACCAGACTCTGTCGAACAAGAAACCAAATTAGATCCACCTGACCTGGGGTTACAACCTAAACTCTCCAAGTTACTAACTCTAAAACTGTACAAATGACAAACAATCCAACATGGTAAAATACAAATTTATTTTGCTAATTACGATATTTGTAAGACACAAAAGAATTACAAATGCACTGCCTGGCAGCCATTCAAATGTATCATGAATTTGACGACAGCAAGAGTCCAGTCAGCTCTGAGTTCATATTTATGGGGATTGGAAAAGCTCTTCCTGATATTTTATGACAAACTTGCATTAGCAACGTTTTTACAGATGTAAGTAGTTATGGTCATGTTTAACTTGGTTAATTGTGTACCTATCTACTGAAAACACTTTTAAACAGTCAATGAACGATTTATTCAGCAACTTACNAACAACAACTGCAAGATGTTGGGAATGATTAAATCAAAACTGTTCACAAAATAGCTTCCAAACACAGTGAGAGGATGATGAACGTCTTGCCAGACAATACCAAACAAGTTTAATCATTCCTGTTACTGCTACTGACAACACATACAAGACCTCGTCTCTAGCATGTACAGTTTCACAATTTTTTTTTTTTGGTACTGTCTCAAGACTCAGATTCAAAACTGTTTTGATTTGTAACTTACCCGTTCCTCCTTGTCCCTTGCTTGCTGACGAAACTTTTCAAAGCTGCTTGCAGATGACACAGGACGGGACAGAGATGAACCTGAACTACTCAAACTGGACCAAGACGGTACTTGACGAATTGCCTTGGGGGCCAAATCCTGAAAAACAAACTTAATGATTACCACATGGAAGTGCTAAATCACACTTCAGTTTCAGAGTTCTGCAATTCTTGGTCTGGGCCTTGCTTGGAATTTCAAATCAGAGACAAGTGATGATAATCAAAAACCATAGGATATTTTCTTGATGAACTACCAATTTCTCAGAACTTGCATGGCAAAAGTAAGGGGAATCAACTTTTGATCTTTCAAGTTATTACATACCTTCTTTGTAGCTTGATTTTCATTCCTTTGCCCTAGAAAGAGAATAATACAAAAATCATTAAACCTCGATCCTCGAAGGAAATCCCTCATGTTTGAAGAAAAGTGAAAAAGAAAATTGATCTGAAAATATATATATATTTGGAAACTTACCAATAGAGGCAAGAGAACCTGGTAACTCTCCTACAGTGAATGTCAAACCACTAGATCCTGTGAACACCAGGGAGGGAAAGTACTGGTTAACATTTATGAGTAAGAGTAAAATACACTCTAGAGTAAATACTTTCAAACACCATAGAAGTGTTTCATCTTGCAAGTAAATGGGTACATTTGGTGAATGATGAGCTGGTTGGGTGCTACTTAAGTATGGAGGTGGTTCATTTGCGCTAGAGTTTCATCTGAAGATTGCCCATCCTCTTAGGTGACAATCAGGGTAAAGATGTCATTAGAAACAAAGTGGTGAACTCGGCAAAAATGACTTGAGGAGGCTGATAAAATTCAGGCCAAAAAAACAGGCATGTACTTCTTCACTCTACTGTTTAGAGAATTTGTTAGTTTCAAAAGGACGGCAGAGCACCTGTGAAAATCAGGTTAAATTTGAAAGCAGAACAGCACCTGATCGTGAAGTTGCTGATTTTTTTTCTGCTGGAGCTGCAGTGGCAGCAGCAGTAGGTGCTCTATCCTTGAGCAGCCCAGTAGCTGTTGTGGTACTGACTGGTGTGACTGGTGCAGTAGCCTTTGTTGTCACTGCTGTCCTTGCAAATGATGAGACTGACTGCTTGGGTGTCGTGGTGGTGCTGGTGGGTGTAGGCTTGAGTGCTGTAGAAACTGCAGGTTTAGCTGTCAACTTTGACAGTGCTGAAGGGATGCTTGTCGGACCAACTCTAGAAGGTTTAGGAGGTGCCACAGTTGCTGCAGGGGGATGACTTGTTGCTGGTGTGGGAGAAGTGGTTGACACAGCACTGGCCACAGCAGGTTTCTCCTGAGGCTTTGGTACTGGAGTAGGCTTGGGGGGTGGCACAACTAAAGCAGTAAGAAACAGGCTTGAGACTCCCAAGCTAACAGCTCCCAAGATAATTTTGCTTTATGATATTGAGCTGCATTAATTGAACAGCAGAAAGGTGATGAAAAGAAATGTAACTTCCAAAAAGGTAATAGTGTGATGTGCCGCCAAATCCTTATCATGAACATTAAAAGATGTGCGACAATCAGTGAGGAAAATCAAACTTTTATTGTGACCCTAATAGAACAATTATATATTTCTCAAGAATAAGGTACAATTGTCAGGTGTGAAGGACAAAGCAATCTGCATTTCACATTCTTTTGGGAGCTATCTACTCAGCAAAAACCAGAGATCAAAGCTTCACAAATAAAAAATGCTTGGTGGAAAGCTGAACTTCAAAAGTCCCATTTTACATTGCACCACACTGTTTCATTCAAAGATTATTGTCAGTGCATTGTCAGACAACAAGAAGGAAACGAAAGGTACCTTCTCCAAAAATTTTTAACCCATGCATGAAAACAAGAATTTTGGTCTCATCAGCAATGATCACCGTAATTCATGAAATGATCTCTTAGAAACCTCCATTTACAGACGAGATGATCGACAGGAAAACTTCAAACCATAAAGTTATCACTGCGCTGACAAGATAATCATAGTCAACTGTATAATTTATGCGTCAAAGTTATTCAGTCATTTTTGGTACAAAAGAAGAATTTAATGCCTGTTGCCATAAGAATAAAAAACTCTAAACATTTCAAGAAAAGATGGGTATCACTAAGACAAATAATTTGTATTACCATTCTTTTGCTTAAAATGCAAAGTGAGTAAACTCTTTGTCTATTTATGTCGCACTTAAAACTGCAGATTTTAGCATAAGAACAATTGACAGATTCCTGTAAGAATCATTTCATTTACTTTCTGTGACAAACAGGTTCACGCTATTGTGACAATGCAATCCTGAACAGCTATTTTCAAAGGGCTGCAGCCATCACATTTCAAATCTATAAAAAAAGAGTCCATTTTAGAGGGTGCCTAATTGATTTTGTTTACATCAACAATAATTATTTTATACAATGATCACAATGTGGATCCAAAATTCTGAACACATCCCAGATATCGACATGAAAAGAAGATGGCACAAGTTTCACTACTTCACCAACAATGTATTTTGTGAGAAGAAAAAGGGAAACCCATATTTTGAAAGTAGTTAAACCAGCTTTTTGAAGAAATGATTCGCTGAACATCTTTTCAATCCCTTGTACACAAGGGTATAAAAACCAAATAAGAAAAATAAAAGTCAGTCGAGGGGAAAAGAAGGCATGGAAAAATGGAGTGGAAAGGATGACAACTTGTTTAAACGGCTAGCACAAAGATGTGAAAACTTTATTTTGTAGGTGAAAAGGCAGTATGGGAACAAGACGACAACTTATTCTAGCCTAAAGGCCTCTTTTCTTTGTCTGCCTGTAAGGTGGTTCAAGTAATTGACAATATGAAAGGGGTCTTTTTAACAATGCTTTTTCTGCATCATTCATTGTGACCATGAACTGAATTTATTGTGCCATAATCTTTTTAAGCTCAGTTCTGAGAAGCTTCAAAGAATAAATCAATATATGGTTTAATTTGGACAACAGTACTCAACCATTACAGAATTCACCGACAAGGAAGTGAGGATGCCTTACGGTGAAAATGGCTTGCAATCAATCTCAAATGGGAATCTTTGTTACTTATGGCAAAAAGTTGACAAAATGGGCAATAAAACATCAAGCTTGATTGAGCCACACATTTGTCAGCTTAGCATGTGCAATTCAGCCAGTCCAGTAATTGCAGACTTACAATCAGAACATTCTAGTGTCAACTGCTCCCCGACTGCTGATCAAGGGTAATGAGGACTCTGGGTACGAGCCTGGCTTACTAAAAGCGTGGGTTCAATTCAGATTGAAAAGAAAATGTTTTCTAACTTGGAGTTCCTCAAAAAACCTTCACAATTCTTGTATAAGAGTTTTGTGAAAATGTCCAGTTACATTGCTATGCTAAATTGGTTGTCCTCCTTCAAGGCTGATATACACTAGATTTGACATGAGGAAGCTTTGATGTTCATACAAGTGAAATTTTTATAGGTCAGATGCTGATTTGCTCTTAATTTGTCATGTGCAAGCTTTGATGTTGATAGAGTCAATTTTAAGGGTAAATGAGTAAAGACTACTCCAAACTGATTGCCATGCACCTATTTTAAACACAGTTGAAAGGATCTTGGAGTATTTGGAATTTTCTTTTTTCGTCATCACCTCTCTGCTTCATAGTGTATATGTATCGGCATTGCAAGGAGATAAAGTTAGTGGAGAACACCCATGGGCTTGAAGGGTTTACAGGTGTGTTCTTTTAACAACTTTACAAGAACACTCTTCAGTTAAACTCGACTTTGTAGATAAAACAGATTCAGCATACCACGCTAAAAGCTTGCGGCCATGCTTACCACAAACAAAAATAAAATACCTCGGGTTAATGAAATTTCTGAGAAATGCTGGCAGTATGACTTTGATTTTTCTCCCGAGTTTGAAAAAGGATGACATGTCCAAAGACAAAATTTGAGTACAAATCAACATCTTAAAACAAGACAAGGAGGTATTTCAAATCGACCATTTCTTTTGGAAAAATAAGGGAAGGGTAACAAGGCACATCAAACAAAACCAGTAGCTTTAGTTCTGGTAGATAACTGGAATGAAATAAACACATGGGTTTTAAGAGGAGTGGGCTTTTCTAGAGAAGTTCTGGGATTCAAAAGAAATGGTAGATTTGAGAACTAAAAAATGTAAAAGAGGGGAAGCAGACATACCAGGCTGGGTCACATGACTTGCTACTGGTTTGGACGGCGTTGGTGTCGCCTTGGATGTGTGACCAGCAGACTTGTTCTGGCAATGTCAGGAGGAACAGAATGAGATCTGACTCATTAGTATCAAACAGCCAAGTCAGAAGAAATATGAGGTTGTGAAGGAAGTGTTTCAGAAATGAATGGGTGATTCTTAAACTTTTGAACAAGTGAGCTTCAACGTACAATCAATCTCAGTGCTCTCCAATTCTGAAAACCTTTCTAAATCTTTTCTTTTTTCATGTGAAACTGTGCAACTAAAAAGAAATACAATGTAATATGTAAAACACAGAGCACAAAATAAATGGCTTCTTTTTAAAAGTTTGCAAGAGTGGCTAATGTGTAGATTAAGGTGTTGAAAGACAAGGAGGGGAATGGCTAATGCCAAAGGAGTGAATGAAATCATAAGTACCTTTCCAGTACTGTGAGAAGTCTTGTGGCTCACACCACCAGACTCTGTCGAACAAGAAACCAAATTAGATCCACCTGACCTGGGGTTACAACCTAAACTCTCCAAGTTACTAACTCTAAAACTGTACAAATGACAAACAATCCAACATGGTAAAATACAAATTTATTTTGCTAATTACGATATTTGTAAGACACAAAAGAATTACAAATGCACTGCCTGGCAGCCATTCAAATGTATCATGAATTTGACGACAGCAAGAGTCCAGTCAGCTCTGAGTTCATATTTATGGGGATTGGAAAAGCTCTTCCTGATATTTTATGACAAACTTGCATTAGCAACGTTTTTACAGATGTAAGTAGTTATGGTCATGTTTAACTTGGTTAATTGTGTACCTATCTACTGAAAACACTTTTAAACAGTCAATGAACGATTTATTCAGCAACTTACGACATTGCAAGAACCCACTGTACACTATTTACACTAAAAAAATCATGCGGACAAAGATCATTTCAACTTGGCATCCCTATTGTCATGACTGAAAACAGCTATAATTTTTTCCTAACTAATAAATGTGCAACTCCTTTTCAGCAAATTTTTTGTAGCTGTTGCCGCAAGTCTTTACTCTTCACTACCTGATTCTGAGTCAGAGCTGCTTGCTGAACTAGATGAGCCAGAGCTTGAACTTGAATCAGAACTACTGCTTGTGCCACTACCACTACTGCTGCTGCTTTCACTTAGTCTTGATGGCCGAGGCTCACTGCCTACAACATCCACGACAGAATGATCAGCACGTTGTGAATCTGAAAATGTAAACAGGAGAGATTTTTAGAACTAGTTTTAACCAATAATGACTATTTGGTGTCTTTCCTATGCATAAAATTGCTTGGTTTTGAAATAAAAGAACCAACCAACAACAAAACAGGCTCTTTAAGTTTGAGGTATCGAAGTGGTGTGACCAAGAAGTTTTCACGACGCTTGAAGAAGACAATAACTAATTGGGCCACAAAATGAACCGTAAACAAGTTATTTCAAGATGAAAATCCAAAATAAAAACTTGGCGCATCATTGAAATGAAAGTGACAGAACATTAATATTCCAATTCCAATCTTGTTAATTTAATTGTGGCTTGTCTTGTGGAGAGTAAAATTCAATGTTTGGTTTGCGATATCTCTTCTCAAAGCATGCGTGTCTTCAAGTCCCAGATAAGCAAGAAAACTAATGAAACAAAATTGTTTTGTTTGACTCCTTGTGCCATACATTAACAGTGAAAAAAGGAAATATCAAGATGTCAAACATCTCTTGTAAAATTATCAGCCTTCACATCTGCGAGAGATAAACACTGCAATGGTCTTAATTTTCATTCACAGCTCCTTTAATCCTGGAAAGAAATTTGATCGGGGCAGATTTTTATCATGCGCTAGGTAAACAGTTCTGAAGTGAGTCGCGCAATCAACTAAACAACGCGTTAAAATTGTAACCTTCGTCAAACTTTAGCTTAACACTTGATTATTCTTGTGTCTAAAATTTACTTGTTTCAATCGTCATCAAAAATTTAGTTTGAGGACAGCTTACCCGGGTTCTTGTCCATGGGCGAGTAAGAAGAGAAAGTTTATACTTGCCCAAGAGGAAAATCTACTTGTCCTGGACAACTGGAAGGGGATTTTTTTGAGCCCTGTCTTTTCCTTCTCGCATAATTTACAACCTTCTCGTTTTTGAGTGTTGGGTTAACTGAAATCGTCTAGCTTTTAATCTGCTGTTTATTTTGTCGAAGTGCATGTCGTTATTTCTATCCAACACAAAGAATTTTTGAGAACACTGAGAAATTTTTGAGAACAGAGCTTATACAGGTGAACGTGTTCAGATTTTCGGGCTAACTAGCCGGGGTTTGATGTGAAAGTGCTTGAATTTTTTTGTCATCTTGTCAACATCAGGACACCTTATTTCAGCAGAAGAGGTACAGAGCCTTATTTTCCAACTGCACTTGTTAATTCGCTGTGTTTTGATTTGAATCTCGCTAAGCGTGGAATTTCCAAACATAAATCACACATTTGTTTGAGCTGGAGTCATGCTTTGTTTGCCATAACACTGCACCACTAAAGGAATATTGGTTACGAATAACAAAGGCTAATATGTTCGCAAAAACATCTGTCCCTAACACACTGGCAAAAACGCACAGGCCACTTTAAAGCGTTAGGGGTGTGTTAATAACATGCATGGGATGTTCGCTTAGCTCTGAGCAGTACTCTGCGTAACCTGAGCAAGCACTTGAGGAAGTTTGGAGGAACTCAAAAGTGCAGGGCTACATAAACCCTCACCTTAAGCTTATGTTTACAATAACTTTTAATTTCTTCCAAACTTTCTTGATGTTTTTAAATCATGCATGTATGTCATTTTCTACACGATTCCTTTTGAAAACCACAAAACAAACTTAGGTTCAGTTACAGTTTGTGATATACACCAAAGTTGGAAAATTTTATGAGTGTAGTGACTACAAGTTTATTACTTTGGTCTGGTCAAACAGATTTTGAAATAGAAGGCCAGCTCACCTTTCTTGGTCTGTTTCTTTTGCCCTGTGCCTCCAAGCTTGCCACTTACATCCTTGATGAGGAAAAGGAGTCACGCGGTCAGCCGAACCCCTGTATTGCAGCTAGCACATCTAACTTACAACATTATACAAACAACTTACATACATAACAGGAGCGCTTTATTTTACATGACAATCATACAAATATCCTTACCAGTATAATTACTAAAAGTACTATTACTACATACCTGAAGTCGTCTTTCAAGCTCCTCCTTCTTTTTTGCTTGCTCCATTTCTCGTTCTTCAGCATTCTTGGCCTTCTTTGTTTGAGGTTTAACCTTTTTTCTCAAACACTGCTGAACATATTTTTCCAATTCCCTCAGTGTTGAAGGTTTGAGCGTTTCAAAGTCTATTTCTATTTCATCTGGGTTCGAGTCCCTCAGACCAGGTTCCCTGGACTGGATGATGTTCACCACTCTTCCTAACTTGTCACCTAATTTACACAAGAGGAAAAGGGCCAAGATAAGAACTACAAATAGGGATGTTATTACTGTTTTGTAGGTAGCATCATATAATCTTCCTATTTACACCAAGTAAATCAGTTTACATGTGGAAAAACATTATAGATCCATGGTGTGCAGCAGTAACTTACATAATGAGTAAACTGTGTGTCTCAGGACAACCATTTTGGTAATCAGTAAATTTGTTTCAAAGAGCAACCCATCAACTAAATAAAAGAAATGACATAAAATAATGACTTTAACCAACCGGGAAGCTTGTTGATATCCAGGCTAAGTTGCCTTTTTTCATCGTACGTCATGGGTCTTGCAGTATCTTCTTCATCATCACTATCCACTTCTAATGTTTTCTTTTTAGCAGCCATCCTATTTTTCAAATCGAGCAAAATTAGACTATAAGCAACCAGGCAAACCTCTGTTTGACCCACTATACTCTACTCCAAATTTTACAGAACCTGCCCAACTTACTTGCTATTTGCAGATCTTTTTGATGCCGACTGTTTCTTAGCTGGCTTTTCTGCTTTAGGTTGAGCTTGGGCTGCTTGAGCTTTGGCTGCGGATTTCTGTTTAGGTTGACTTTTTGGCTGTGGCGGGGCCACCTGTTTGGTTTCTTTCTTTGGAGGTTTTTTCTCTGGTTTTTTCTTTGTCTTGTTTGTCACAATAACAGTTTCCCCTGTAAGTTTGCTCAGTTGTTCATGAACTGATATGAGCTGTCAAAAAAGAAGACATTCTCACCTTGAAACATGGTTACCTACTAAGATCTGCATATCTCACTATTTACTCTAACCCAACTAAAAGCTGACAGAACCAGGAATTTAATTGTTAACCTATGCAGCCCAGTTGATTAAGCAGGATTAACTGTACTGGTGCTTTAGAAATCTAAAGGTCTAATCAATATAAAAAAACTATTTCATTAAAAGCATATCTTTTTTGTTTGTTTGTGCTGAAAAATGAGAATTAAAACACTGCAAACTCAGCAAACAGTGGAGTACCTGTTGTTGAAGCTGAGAAAGTTGTTCAGCTCTGTCGGCCTCATTATCCTCAGATGGTGGTGAAGATGATGGTGGGGTTGCCGCAGACTCTGGTTCTGGTTCAGGAGGTTCTATCATTGGCGGAGGAGGAAGTTCAGGTTCCTCAGGCATTTTGGCAAATTTCATTTCAAACACATCCTATCAACAGACAAAAGAGGAACTGATGTTATTGCAAAGGCTAATATGAAACAAAATAAAATCAGTTAATCTACAGCTGTATTTGAGTTGTTATTATCCTCTCTACAGTTCCTACAACACTTAAGTGAAACCCCATTACTGCACCTCTCAATAACAAGCAGACTCTTAAATTCAAAGCTCAACCAACAAACCCGTTTTTTGCTATCGTCAATCAAATGTTCAGCGGCTCCTCCCAGCTTCCGACTATGATGTCTGAACTGTGCTCAATGATTTGATTTGATTACCACATGCTCAGCAGTAATTGAAAGCTGGGAGGAGCCGCCAAACATTTGATTGATGGTAGCAAAAAACGCACTGGTCAGTTGAGCTTGGAATTTTAGAGTCCGCATGTTATTGAAAGGCGCAGTAATAAAGAGTGACAGTGTTATGCCTTTCATGACATGTAAGGGTAGTTCTCAAAAATGGCTCTATTTTACACTGCCATCATCATAAAAACTTTGCAGGAAACAAAGAAGTTAACTTCAAAGGGTACAATGGGTCTTATCTGTGGTGTTATCGTTTAACTTTATCCCCTCTTTTGGGAAGTTCATCTGTTGCTACTTTTGTTACTGAAATTGGCTCTGGGTAGCAATTTTAATGCAATCACTAGTTAATAACTGGGTTCCACCTCCAGAGTTTGCATGGTATTGAATGGTAAAGTTAAAAGGCACCTATATTAAACAGGATAATTTAAAAGAAGGTACAGAGCTAAAGACTGAAACAACAGTCTGAGGTCTCTTTAACCTCTGGAATCAACAAAGAAGAGATATTAGATGATTTACAATGTCACTTATTTAACTTCAAATATCAAATATTAAAGGAATTTTGCAGGGAACATCAAAACAACCTGACGAGTTGTCACAAACCTGCAGTTGTCTTGCCATTTTAACAACATCATGGTCAGGAGGATTGTATCTGTAGCAGTTACTGAACATGAGCCGAACATCAGCAGCAAATTCAGATGAAGAATTGTACTCTCTTGCATCCATTTTTACCTGTTGATGAATTTGTAAAATAAGCTGTGCAAATCATCAACTTAAAAGGTAGTAACACAATTTGACCAATGCGAAAACAGAAATGGAATAAGGAATGTAAGAGAATTTCCTTACTTTAATTGTGCCCATATCCATTGGTTGCTTAATTATATCATGGTAATCATGTAATCCAAGAGTAGAAGCATCAACAGGCTTGTAAAATGGCCATGCATATGCCTAAAATAAGTTTCCAAACAGTTCATTAAATTAAATTAAAAATTAAAAAATGTTTTATCAAGCCTATGGTCATCAGTTCAATGGGTACAAGTGCTTATCCATGTACAGGGAATTTCTGCTTATTTTGGCCATGTTTGTTGCAAAGGTCATCATTAATTTTTTAGTTGGCCATGACCTCAATATAATTATTGTCAATCAAATTTACAGTAATACAAAAAACTTGGAAACAAAGTTCTCAATTTCAATTGAAACTCACTTATGAACCCCAGTCAATAGCAGGGCATATTTTTTCATCCCAACAGGGAAAAGCTGTTTTCTACTTTGTGACTAACTTACAGACTATTTGTTGTATCTAACTGTACAATATTAAAGGACCCAAGTCAGCCTCCACCATTTTCAATGCCATTAAAATTATTGATATTGCATGGTGAAGTGAAATCTTTTTGCTTTACTTAAGTTGTGCTCCTAAAAGTATGTTTATTTATCTTTAGTATTTTCATAGTGATTTCCTTTGTTTTGACACGCCCCGAATTAAATATAGTGGCCAAACTCTCACATGTTAACAAAAACAAAGGTGTGGCTGACTAGGGCCCTTTAAGCTAAGATTGAAGAAATGTAGTTAATAAGAAGGAACAGCCTTTATGATAAGTAAGTAACCAAAATTACAAAACCATCTTCAAGTCAATTCTGACCATGTTAATTCAAACTTGTTCAATAAGAATGACAAACTGTTGTTTACTTACAGCATGTTTCTTGGAAAACAGTTCCTTTATAATGTTACTGCAGTATTTAAGCTGCTCAGACAATGGTTTCTTTTTGCCACGAGACTGAAACAAATATGATATCCTGAATTACAAAAATAATTATAGCAAAGAATGCTATCTGCATAGCAGAAATAGATATGTCACTTAGGGTGCGTTTCTTTAAGAAAATCCAAGATTGGATCCTTAAATCCTAAAACGGATTTTGCATTTCTTTTCTAAACAGATTAATCCAAGATCACTCAGATCATGATGTGTCAAAGGAACTGAAGAATCCACTCTGGGCAAGAATTCTTTCCTTTGATGTGCCATGATCTGAGTGATCTTGGATTGATCTGTTTAGAAAAGAAACGCAAACTCCATTTTCGGATTTAAGAATCCAATCTTAGATTTCTTAAAGAAATGTACCCTTACACATTCAAAGCATACCAAGTGTGGATATTACCAACTTTCAAATTGCCACTACCTGCATACAAAAACCAGTGTTGCTAAAGACTGGTTAGGGATTACTTGTTTGTAGTAGAACTGGGCTCATAAAAATTAATTGTTAATTATTGTTAATGGTCATGCCACGGGAAACCTACAAATTGACACTATTATTACACCTGTGCACCAATAAAAATTATATTATTCCCAAAAAAACCTGTAGAGAGAAAATACAGCATAGAAAGAACACTCTTCTAAACCAGGAATGAAACTGTATAACAAATAGCAAACTATGTGTACAAAAATTATTTGTCTCATTTACTTTTATATTGCCTACCACTTGTGGCTCTTCGGGCAAATCTCTATTTGGTTTTTTCACCGTTCTAGTAGACTCTCTTCGAGTTGGTATTTTAGCTGCTTTTGCCTTGACAGAGGGCATGGGATCACCCATTCCACTAACAGGAGTTGTTGGAGTCGTAGTATCAGCCTTTCTCTTTACCCCCTTCTTGACCTACAAACAGATATCATCAAATACTAAGTTACTGGATTTAGTAATGGAGTACACTACCCACTCAGCTGTTCTACTGGAAATCTGCAAATCTGATTCGTTGTCTTGTCAATTTCTATTCCCTGATAGACAAGGATTTAGGATTACACGTACACAAAATTGTAGGTTTTGTGCTGTTGTCCTTTAGAGTGTCTACTTAAACAATAAGACTACTGAATCTCACTTTCTATGAGCGATAGTCAACTTGGCTTTTAGTAAAATCTACTGGCATTCTATCACGAATAATGTTCTCTGATTGGCTGGCTACACTACTCACTATCTTTTCTGTAACAGATAGTGAGTAGCGTAGCGGTGTGCCCTTGTTAACAAAAATGACAGCCGCTTGTTGGCGTTTTCGAATTGTCTGTGAACAGGATTTAAATAAAGTTTTGAACAACTAGTAGACTTATACTAAAACAATTAGACTATTCGCTCTCCATTTCTATGCGAGCTGGTTGACTTGGGCTGCACCCTCGTCAACTATCAAACAATAGAAATCTCGAGCTCATAATCTAATTGTTTCATAGAAAACTCCAGCTTGTAGTCTAAATGTTAATTAGTCACCGAAGTTCAAAGCTGGTTAAGAAATCAAAGTAGTAACATGTTTCTCTTAGCCTTTGCTTTTTTGACGAGTCTTTCAATCTTCACTCTCAGACAATTAATGTAAGTGTAAAGAGAACTTGATTTTCTTCTTCCTATATTTCTCTTGCATATATCTACACAGCAAACAAAGCTTCCAAAGGATTTGAAAGAATCTGATTTCTAGTGTACTTTCAGAAGGAATATTTACCAACCTTGGCAGGCTGAACAGCCGAAGGTAAAGCAGGAGCAGCCAAAATACCAGGGGAGGGTAGTACAGTAGTTGCATCCACGGGAGTTGGAAGTGCTGTAGTTGCAGTTACCGACACGGGTGGGGTGGCATACGGCAAACTTGTCATTGGAGTACTGTCTGGAGCAACTAAAATGAGATGAAGAAATTATGTAAATAACAGCCAATTACAATGTAATTGTATCTTTCCTTACTCGAATGCCTCATGTAATCAGGCTTTCGAGATGGTTTTTTAATGTACATGAACAGTGAGGGGTGAGCTAAGCTTGTTGACTCCACAGAGATATAGGGTTTGTGGTAACTCTAAATGTTGACTGCTTGACTTACAAATTCTCTAGCACAGTGGCAAAGATACACAAATTCAGCACACATAATCCACAATATGTCATTGATAATAACCTGGAATGTGCTCCATTTTAACTGATGTCACACCACCCTTCTTGGCTCTTTTTGCTCCAGGTCCACCAGGCATAGCCTTTTTGTTGGGTCCTAGGATAATTTCGAATTCCTACAGAAAATATAACAATTTTAAAAAACACAGTCAATACTGTTGATACCGCACAACTTGAACAGAGTTATAACTATTAGTTGAAATTAGAAGTTATATGTAGTTCCTAGACAGAATATTTTTTTATTATATAGCTGTACAAGAAAGTCAAGAGATCAAGAGAGTCCTTCTTGACAAATAATTGTCACAACACAGTGGAGGCCTGGCATTATCAAAGAAACAGTGAATCTAAATCACAGATTAACACTATTTTGGGGGAATCCTGACACTTACAACATTGCGACAATAACTACTCTGCCCTAAAGGATACAATGTATGTTAGAGTATCACTACCCACTCCGAGTACTGCTGGAAATTACAGGGCAATACAATCAACTGACATCCCTGCAATCAATCTTGGTATTCCTGTGCCTCAACTGCCTCAACTGCCTCAACAAATGCATGTGTAGGTAAGTCCCTATTTCCTACATTTGAGGGCAGTTTTTATTTACAGTGGTAGATAACCTTTTGAATTCTCTCAGTTGTCACAAGGCCATTCATCACCCTTACCTCAGCAGGCATGGTAGCGAGTTTCTGGTTAAACACTTTCTCCAGTGTCTGGCACATGAGGACTACATCCTATAGGAGAAAAGCAATTATATAATGAAGGAAACATTGCATATTTTTTTAAAAGGAAGGCATGGGAGACCCCACCTGCCAAACCTCACCCTAACCCTTCTCTTTCAGTGGTCAACCTTGGTGGTAGTTAATGAGCCAAACATCACTGGATTTTCAGTTGTGACTTGTCATGTCAGATTTTCATGAATGTGATTATTGATACATGTAGTTGTTCAAAACTAGGGTAATAACTTGCAAGGAAAGTGAGATGCATGCTGAACTATATATATAGAAATATCTACAGTATTTCAATATGTTACAGCAATCTACACGTATATAAAACTACCACTAAATTATTACTGCTAATTGTATTTACATGGCATCCATGGAAACTGACAACATTATACTGTCATGGTGGATTTCGTAGTTTTAAAACTTACTATCTCATGTGTGCATTCAAAGAAAAAATGATAATTAGTGTATGGTAGTTGATTGGATTCCTTCATACTCTGGAACAATGATGTCAAATGTGATGAACTACTGAATTTTATCTTGATTAAAAAACACCATGGCAACATGCCACAGGTCAGTCAATTTCCATCATTATCACCAGAGCATGGAATATGTATTTCCTCTTTTATTCACTACTTTCACTCTGTCCAAAGTACTATAGGGAAATTGTCCCACAATCTGTTTTAACAAGACCATTACAAATCAAAATGTAGTTTTACATACTGTTAACTGCTCACTTCCTCAAGTCAAAAAATTTACTTAACAAGTGAATCCTATTCTGTTTTGATGACTGGAATATTATCCCAGCAGACTTTTGGACAACAATTATTTGGCTAACAATCAATTCATGTACACTCAGTTTGAAGGCATACTACTAAATTATCTCCACTTAAGTTGTGCTTTCCTGGGGATTTAAATAGCCTTGAGCCACCGAAGAACAAATGCAAATTTAATTCAAATGCTGTCAAAACTCTCGTCAAAAATATATTCAACCTAATTCAATTTCCTCTTGACTTTTCAGCTCAAATATCAAAAAATTTCTGTATTTTCTGTGGTGTGGGAATCACACAAAACGAAAATACAATTGGCAAACTAAAATCTCACCTCTCCTGGTTTATTATAGGTGATGCAGTTGTTGAACACTAGGCGAAAATCATCTATACACTCTTGACTGCAGGAATACTCGAGGTTTTCTAGCTTTCTCTTGATCTGACCCATGTCCATGGGACGTTTTATGATCGTGTAGTAATCCTACAAAACCACAAGACCTCCAGTCAACAACGTCTTGCAAAGGAATGAACAGATAATTTAAGTGTGATTTCAGCGCATACTAACCGGCAAATTCAATTTCACAGCGTCCACAGGTTCGTGAAACGGCCAGGAATATGGATGCCTCCACATCGCCTTCATGATTGTTTTCGACAAATACTGGAGTTGGTTTGTAGTTCGATAAACTTTTGGCTCTTGGCCGGTTGTTGGTGGTTGAGTCATTCCTCGCTACAAAGGACATTTAGAACAAACAACAGTTCGTGTAGAATTTATTTCGGTTTCGCATGTTATACCAAACATCAAATTATAAATTCAAGCTTAAGACGCTGCTCGAGCGAAGGTAACGAACAACGAAATGGATTACAGTAATATTTACCACTGTTTGTTGTTCAAAATCGTCGTACTTGTGTGATAAACGCCTTACTCGCTTCCCGAGCCCCTCGGGGCTCGTCTCTGATCGCAATCCATTCAATGAATCGGCAGAGTTATGTTCATTAGTGAGACCAGACTGTAAAGCTGAGCTGGGCCTAGAGGTGATGCAATACAACCTCGTCAATTTCGCCCTCGAATTTACCCAAGTAGTCTCCAAAATGGCACAAAAATGTGCAGAATAACTTTAGACACAGTTTATGCTACTTTGGAAGACGTAAAAACCTTCTCGTGAGCGAGAAAAAAGTCCGCGTCACTTCAACGCCATCTTACACTGCCAACGCCATTTTTGGCGGTGACACGCACAACTATTCACGAACGAAAATCACAATTCACAAGCCCAAGAACCCAATAATAACCGGACCATACCGTTCGATAAGGTTCGTTAGAGGGTTCTGCAAGCTTTGGATTGTTGGATGGCCTTGCGTTTCCATGCACGGCGAAAGATTCCTCAAAGATTCTTCCCTCCTTCACAAATCCATCCTGCTCGCTGTGGAGCGAAGGCCGCCCTTTTGAATTCTTCATCGACCCCCAGCAAAGAGCTTACAAGCCACGTCATTATTATAAGTGTCACGTGCCCCAACTCAGCGCGCCAAAATGCAAAAGTGAATTTGAAGTTTTTGCGATCAAATTTTCGTCGCACTCTCAGAAATTGAGGACTTTTTCGTATTTATTTTCCAGAGCACTTCTTAATTTTATCCAAGTAGATTCTCAACAGATCTCGATCGTGTACTTTGCAAACAACAAAAAACACCACTCCACAAAAGGGTCACAAAAGGTGGCGTTCTATTTCATTCGTATGATCTATTTACCGACACCCGTTTCCACTTTGTCCTTACATACAATGAACGAGATCAAGTCACCGAGGAAGAAAATCGCTTTTCACTAATTGAGTACTTACAACGACAGAGGACCACAGATCGACATGAAAACAAGTAGTTCCGGGTAGTCGACTTGTCACGCAGCGGACAGTACTTTTATTATAAGACAGCCAGTCATTTTGAAGAGCGAGGAATCTTTTTCTCCTTACCCTTACATATGGTTGAAAACTTGCAGATGTATCAAACAGGATCAAAGGGATATGATGTTGTCGATGCTGTTAGCCCTCGCGGACCCTTCGCGGTTTATACGTTGTCAGGTGAAACAACTCCTCGTTCATGCGTGACATTGTTTACATTTCTGATTCCACCGCCGATGATTCACTGCATTGTGGATGAGGTTTATCCACTAGATCAATTTTTATAGTTCTCTGAATATTTTCATATTTTACCAGAACTTGGATCGCAAAGATTTTTGTTCTTCCTGATAAACACGGAGTAAATGACGTTAAATCCATCGCGGCTGGCTTTGCATTGTTGGGTGAATTTGATCCACCTTTATTGTCTGAAATAACATTCCCGGTTGGTGCTTAATAGATGACTTTTATCCATTTTGTAAAGCGATGTAACTGCTCCAATGATCAGCCAGTGCTTGATCTCTGACCACGAGGAGATATAGATAAACTCAGCTAAATCCCCGAACTAATGAAATCTGCTCAGAACTACGTACCCAACAGAACCAAGTGCAAACAAAGTAAACACGCGTAACACTCAATTTCAGGCTCTCTCTCTAGTCTCCTCAGACATAGGAGAGAACGACAGCCTGCGGTCAAGGTTGAAACACCCTGAAGAAACAGACCAATGGAAGTACCAAAAATTGTTATGGGGAATGAAAAAAGTGGGTTTTTACAACACTGTTTATCTACTTCTTATCTACTTCTTCTTTAGACTTATTTCCTGATAATTTAAAGCTATTTAATAAGAAATTATTATTATGCAAGTATTTGTTCAATTTTCACATATTTCAATAATTCTGTTTATAATTTTGACAAATGTTTTGAGGAACGCACAAAATACGAAATTGTTTAAGTGGAGTTTTATAAATATTTTTGGAAAAAGAGAACAACACTGCATCACTCACCTCCAACAAATCCTCTCAGTACTTTCAAAATGCTCTAAAATATTGCAGTCTTGAACATGGCAAATGCATATAACGAACAACAAAAAAAGCATATAATCAACCAGTTACGCATAATTTGTTCTTCTCTCCACTGAGACGAACAACATCCAGACCATGCAACTAGCATGTGACAACTATACCATGCAAATTGTTTTCACTATTATAGATTTTGATCATTTGGTCCGGAGAACGGTGATTTTCTTTCTTGTTGGAAATGGGGTGTTTGCTTTCCCAATTTTAATTACTCAGGCTTCATCTAGGGATCTGAAGCCCTAATAGTTGAGGTGTCTCTTTTACAGTTATGGGTCAGGTCTAACGAAAAGCATGTCTGAAATCAATAACATTTCCAAGAAAGTGGATACACAGCTCAGTTTCCATGGTTTATTGTGGAATTCAACTTTCTATTTTGTGTTCCTAGGATGTTTGGAACTTTGGAACTGTTTTACTTCATATTCCTGTATTATTTTTCTCACTCTAGAACTCCAGCACATTGAAATTGATCTAATTCAAGGACTGTTACAAAATAACAAAAACACAAAGATAAGTAACATTTTCACCTATGTGACAGCTTACTCAGGTCACCTTTTTTATAAAGTCACACAATCCGAAAGCTAAATTTTCGGCATTTACTTGACTAAAAAGTTCTCAAAAATCTAGGGTGTGGCACATCTCCAAGTGGCACATACACCTTGCACATTCTCAACTATTTACTGTTTTGAAGTTTTGAACACAAATCTTTCATCTCCAGGCAATAACTAGTCATAGTCTGTTAAAATTGGTTGCTGAAGAAAAGAAAAATATCCAAATTAGAATTAAAATCATGAATCTCAAGACAGTACTCTATTGTTGCTCTACTATGACCAACAAAAAACCCCTTTACAAGGAGAACATCCCAAGACTTTTCTGGCCCTTTTTGGCCTTCAATGAAGGTGCCGGTGGAAACCCCAAAATTCCCAACTCATTAGGCCTTAAAGATGATTTCCAGTCTGTACTGCACCGTCTCAGCAACCTAATGTTTATAAACATTATAAGTTCTTACTCGATGAAATGCAAATCGCTGTTATTCGTTACAAACCACATACTTTATCTTTGAGGCCTTTCAAATTCTCTTTCCTACAGCTTCATTGATTTTAACAGCTATGAAGTTGTTTTATCAAATGAAATGAGAAAGAATGAAGCATAAAGCTTCACATCGACAATGGCAGTTGACATGAAATTTTGAATTTTAAGTAGTTGCAAAATGTTCACATTTTGTGATGTCTTACATAACACAAAAACAAAAAAACGAAAGCAAACTCTCTCGAGTGTGCAGTACGGACTGGAAATCATCTTAAAGTATCCTCAACTGTACTGCAAAATTACTAGTCATTGATTCCCAACAACAAGGATTAGAAAATAAGCCTTGTCACATTAGTTGCAAAATACAGCTGCTGCATATCTCGAATTTTGGTAACATGAAGCAAGAAGAAGTATTGCTGCTACTCCTCCTGGATTTACAACAAAATAACAAAACCTTCATCACATGAGGGTTTGGTCGATAACATTAAATTTTGGTCCTTTTGTTGTGAATAACGGATGAACAATTTTACCTGGTCTGAGAAATCTCTCATAGGAGTTGCAACCCGGACAGCAGTTGGGCCTTTTCCATAAGCTGTCACAGAAAACATCCATGACAAAATAATTATTACCAGGTTGGTAAAGAATAATGATAACTAAGCTAGCTAACTGTCTGACTATCTAGTAACTAACTTGTCCTTGGACCTGGCCTAGGATGGCCCCATAAGCTTACAGCATTAATAACTACCATGGATAAACAAACTTTATTGTTATTGTTGTTGAACATGTAATCAAGAAAGAGGATATTTACAATTATTCCATGAGCAAGCATTGGATATGAGATAGCAGATAGTCAAGGAGGCTCGTAGTGCCGTGTTGGCTATAATCCTCTCATGAATATCCAACAAGTGCAAGTGGAATAATTGTTTTATTAAAAATGCTCCCAAAATATAGAAAACTAAACTAAAATAAAAATAAAAATGCCCCAAAAATCACGAGTACACTTACCATATTTACAGAGCATGGTATAATGGCTCATAACCCATGATGGCTACGCCAATGAAAACTCATCAAATTGTATTAATTGTATTTTGTCTGCTATTTGCCTTCCCATTTTACCTATCTGTGTTTACTGTGTTTAGTGTCTGTCTGTCTGACTGTCTGGCAGAATGTACATGTATAAATGTCTGATTGTCTATCTACATCTGTCTGTCTCTACTCACCTTGTCTATGATCATGGTCTTTTCCAGTCTTGAGAAACTGCACCACCATGCCAGCAATGAACATGATTGGAATCAGTGACACAACCAACCATGTGTACCAGCAGTGAGGCAGCATGGACTTGTTATAATGGCCTGCAAAATATAACGTATTACAAAAATCCTGGCTACAAAAGAGAGACACAATGCAAGTTCCTCTACATTTTCAACCAGGGATATGTTATAAAAATATGATTCTCTGTAAATACATTGAGGCCTGAATCTGCTCTTGACTACTTTTTAACTAAATAACCTGTAGTACAATTGAACACCCATATATGTTACTGGACACCCTCAGAATCAGATGAAGAGTCTGCACAGGATAGATGTATGCTTACAGGACTGGAGGTGTTGGGCTACTTGCAGGGTGTTAATAGCAAACCTTCACGAGGTTAGCAGGTTACTGACTAGCATAAGTCAAGGGCACAGTGACTGCAGAATAAACAGAGCTCTAGACATCTCTCTCAGGAGTATGCAACTCAAGAAGATGGCTTAAATTCAAGCAATATCCGTGCAAAATTTTTACCAAGATCTTGCCATGATTTTTGTGAGTTTCTGAATCTCAGCGAGATTTCCTACATCTTGCCGAGATTGGTGAGATCTCACCAAAATTGCCAAGATCTTACCATGATGTTGTGGGTACATCAAATCTTGGCGAGATCACGGCAAGATTGTCTACATCTCAGCGAGATTGCCAAGATCTCGCCGTGATATTTGAATCTTTCTAAATCTTGGTAAGATTTCCCGAGATCTTGCCGAGATTTTGAAAGACGCAAACATCTTACTGAGATTGCCTACATCTCGCTGAGATCTCCCCGAGATTTAGAAAGAATAAGAATCTCGCCGAGATCTTGCCAGAACTGCAAATATCTCACCGAGATCTCGCCAAAACTGTGAACATCTCCCCGAGAGTGGCAAGATTGTCGAGAATAGTTATAATCCAAGATCATTCTCAGAGGTTCTGCATTGAAATAAAATGCTTTGTGGTTCACCATTAGCCGTCTATTTTTCAGTTCGATTTCAAATGCGGGAAGCCCAAAAATGGAATAAGACGTTCCAACATGGATTGGTGTTATTTACCAAATTTTTATTTAACAAAGTTGAATGGAGCAACCTACTTTTTTATGGCGATGAAGAGACGCGTGCTAATCGATTTTTTAGATGAGAGTTTCGTTGATCATCTTGAAATTTTGGTTTGTCTTTAAGCCATTATCAGCAGGATAACCTTTGAGTTACTCAATAACCATTTCAATTCACTNTGGTGTCTATACTCCAGAGTTTTTCCAGACAGCTTATCAGTGAGGTATTCATTACACAATACATAAGTGAGGAAAAATGCCACCAGGAAACCAGAGAGGAAGAGGATAAATTTGAATAACCGGTATCCTGAAATAAAATGTGCAAGTTAAGCACATTACAAATGTCACTCATGAGACCTTACAGATCTTACAAACAACTTAAAATGATTTTGGCAAAGATACTCACAAGCAGCATTTCCAATACACGTAATTTTTGAAGTAGGTAACAGCTGATTAGTGTAAGACATTTGCAGACAGCAGACTGCAGAATTTTTAACTGCAATCGAAGCGGGAGGGGGGTGGTGGTGACTCCCAAATAAAATAGACGGGGGTGCTGCTGGTACCTTCTACCTGAAGGAAAGACCTGATGCCATCTGTTTTCAATCGTAAATGCATTAGTGTGGTTGGGGCCTCATGAGTATATAAAGCGGTCATGTGTAATTCAGATGCTTGAGCCGAGTATTACGTCCACTGAACATATAGGGCCGAACTCACACACGACTGCTCTCATGTGGCTTTGATAGCTCAGTTGGTAGAGCATTGCACCGGTAACGCAAAGGTCGTGGGTTCAAATCCCGTTCAGAGCCTGAAATTTTTTCAGGTCATTTTTCCAGTAGTGTTATGGCTGCACTCGCATCCTTCATTCTTTCAGGCTAATCTAACCTGAGTGATAATCAGGCTAGCCCAAACGCTATTTCAAAATGTAAAGAAAGTGCTGTTGCATTGTCGTGTGGCAGACAAATGGCATTCAGTGTGTGAGAAATATTTCAAGTCCCCACATGCCTCATGCATGTTAATTTGTCCCTATGTGTATATCTTATTTGTGGACCATATCCCTTAAAGAATTTCAAACATGATTGAACTAAATCCTGGCTGTCTTACAAAACTGAAAAAAATTGATATTTGTTACATGAAACAATAATTTGACTCTAATCATGCAGATGTCAATGTCAGTTTGACCAATGCAGATAGGAAAAGGAGAGAAAGAAAAGAAAACAGTAATCATTCATAACGTCTTACTAGTCTCACTTAGAGTATGTTCAAGCTGTCGGTCAGCTTTTTAGGGTTCACCCAGCAGAGGTTTGTTCATGCCAGGCATAGTCAATCGATAAACTGATAATCAATAATAATCAATAACAACCAATATCACTAGAAGATTGAAATCGATTGGTGATAGCAATCGATGAAAATCCATGAAGAAAAAAAGTTGCGAGTTATCGATTGCCGATAGTAATCGACAACAATTGAGTCATCGATTAGTATCGATTATTATCGATTGTAATCGGAAATTATTTTTGTCCTTTCACAAGTTCCACTGATGATATGTTTGACAAAACTTGTAATGGTTTTATTGAGTCACTTCATCATAGCCTGCATATCTTTTACAATCATTGACAAAATACTGGTAACAGCTGCAGGAATGAAAACAATTGAAGGGTTTCGTGCAAAAAGGGCGTATCTGACATTTTGGGCCGATTTTTATTTTTTGCAGGATCGAGCTCATTTTTGGCACTGACTTGTTTTGACATGAAAAGCATCGTTGCATAATTGTTTTTGTTGATTTGCGCTTCGTTTTCGAGAAATAATGTATGCAAAAACCTCAGTTTTCCAAGGGTATCTTTTGGATATCTTTTGTTGAGCGAAAAACAAAAGAAACCTTTGTTTTGCTAAACGATGAAGTCACCGAAGCATGGTACAGTATTCGCCGCTAGTTTTATTATTCATATAATTACACAGTTCTCCTACTGTTGCTTCGTTAGCGCAAGCAAATAAGGCGCTGAACTGGCCATCCTTGTTTCTTTATGATTTATCATTATCTCTTCGGTGTTTTTCTTTAAGCAATAGACCACAAGTTTTTATGGTTTATAGGCTGATAAACCACACAGGATTTTGGAAGAACATGAGAAGAATTTGTAAATCACTTGCCTGCGTGATTTACGAATTCTTCGTAAATCATAGCTCTAATTCTTCGTAAACCATAGCTGATTGACCAATCAGAGCGCGCCCATTCATTTAATTACGGTATATAAATCTTATTAAACTGTTATTTTCAGGTTTCCTACCATTTAAAGGTAATTTTGTACGTGGGCAAAATAACTCAAAATAGCTTGATTGAGCCCCTTTAAGGTATTAAAGTTTCCTTTTGAGAAGCATTTTCTGTTACTTTAAGTTCAAAGCTCATTTTCTCAAAACAAGTCACTTTTGCATTTGAGAAAAGATATCTCGAGAAGGATTTAAAGGCCAAGTTCATACGTCACATTTCTGCCGTGTTGAATTCAATTCAATTAAGTGAGGCAGAAATGCGACAGTGGATTCATACGTCGCACTTGTGTCGCACTTAATTCAGAATTTATACTGTCGGGTATGTCAGCCAGCAGGAGATGTTTTAAATGTAGAGTATTCAATATGGCAGACGAAAATATTGGTGACGAAGGACTTTAATTTTGCGAAAAATTGTCCGCCAATGGAACAAGAAGGAGAAGGCTGACAACGGAGCAGTATGTGGTGCAATATGTTCAGGTTGCAAGGGGTCGAGAGCGGCCAAGTTTCCGCTTTTTCTTTGGCAGGAAAACATTTACGCATGCTCAATACATTAACATAATGTACACATTAGATTCGACACGGCAGAAATTCGAGGTCTGAATCAGTGTCGCATTTCTGGCGGATACTGCGACAAGACCAGTCAAACATGCGGCAGAA